GCCCACACTCTTAGCCAGGGGGTGCCTGCTGTGTGGGTGGCCGGCCCCTCATCGACCCGTCAGCATGCGCGTCTGCAGCTCTTCCTCGCTCCTGGCACCCAAAACAGTAAGAAAGTGCAAGTCACCCAGTCCCTCTGGACGTTAGGTGCCCGTCCATGAAGAAAAGGGTGTTTTGTTTTTTACCGTTTTAACCTTTTCTAAGCATATAGTTCCGTAGTAGTAACTGTATTCACCTTGTTGTAGACCAGATTTCCAGAAATTTTTCATCTTGTGAAACTGAAACTCTGTATTCGTTACACCACACCCCCGACTTGTCCTCCCCCCAGTTCTTAGAAGCCACCAGCTACCTTCTGTCTCTAGGAATTTGACTACTTTAATTCCATGGAGGCAGACTCATATAGCGCTTGCCTTTTTGTGTCTGGCTTACTTCACGCAGCATAATGTCCTCAAGGTTCATCTGTGTTGTAGCCGGTTTCAAGATCTCCTTCCTTTTATTAGCTGAATAATGTTCCATTATATGGCTAGACCCCACTTTTGTTTATCTTCTCATCTGTCAGTGGACACTCAGGCTGCTTCCACCACTTGGCTGTTGTGACTAGGGCTGCCGTGAACATGGGTGTGCAAATATCTATCCAATATCTTGTCTTCAGTTCTTTGGGGTATCTACCCAGAAGCAGAATCGCCAGACACATGGTCACTCTATTTTTCATTTCTCAAGAAATCTCCGCACTGTTTTCCCTAGCATCTGAACCTAAGGGTTCAAATCTATCCACATCCCTGCGAACACTGGTTATTTTCTGGTTTCTTTTATTTTATTTTCTAGTAGCCATCCTAATGGGTACAAGGTCATATCTCACTATGGTTTTGATTTGCATTTCCCTCATGATTGATTAGTGATAATGACCATCCTTTCATTATACTTGTTGGTCATTTGTATACCATCTTGGGAGAAATATTTATTCAAGTCCTGTCCTCATTTCTTAGTTATTTGTTTTGTTGGTGTTGAGTGGTAGTTCTTTATGTATGCTTGATATTAATCCCTTGTCAGATATGATTTGTAAATATTTTCTCCCACCCCATAGGTTTCCTTTGATGCACAGAAGTGTTCATGTTCAGTGTAGGTCCCATTTGACTAATTTTGCTTTTTGTTACCTGTGCCTTTGCTGTCATATCCAAGAAATCATTGCCAAGTCCAATGTCATGAAGCTTTCCCCTGTTTCTCCTAGGGGTTTTACAGTTTTACTCTTAGGTCTTTAATCCATCTTGAGTTAATGTTTATATATGGTGGAAGATGAGGGTCCAGCTTCATTCTTTTGCGTGTAAAGATCCAGTTTTCCCAAGACTGTTTGTTGAAGAGACTGTCTCTTCCCCATTGAGTGGTCCTGGCAGCCTTCCTGAAGAGCATTTGACCACATACACGAAGGCTGATTTCTGGGCTCTCTTTTCTGTCCCATCAGTTTATTGGTCTGTGGTCTGATTTTATGCCAGTGCCACACTGTTTTTGATTAAGGGAGCTTTGTAGTTAGTTTTGAAATCAGCAACTGCAAGTTTTGTAGCCCTGTTCATTTTCAGGATTGTTTTGGCTATTCGAGGTCCCTTGAGATTCCATATGAATGCTAGGATGGATTTTTCTATTTCTGCAAAACGTGTCCCTGGGATTTTGATAGGGATTCATGGAATCTGTACATCGCTTTGGGTAGTATTGATATCATGATGATTGCCTTCCAATCCATGAACATGGGATGTCTTCCCCTTTATTATCTTCTTTCATTTCTTTCAGCAAAGCTTGGTAGTCTTCAGTGTAGGTGCCTTTTACCTCCATAGTTAGGTTTCTTTTTAAGTATTTTGTTCTTCTTGATACTGTTATGAATGGAATTTTTAAAAAGTTTCCTTTTTGGATTTTTCATTGTTAAGGTATAAAACCGCCATTGGTTTTTGTATGTTGATTTTGTATCCCATGTTTATTAATTCCAGCAGTATCCTGAGGGGTCCTTAGGGTGAGAGAAGGTCCTGATGTAAGGTCTTTCCTGATGACCTTCCATGATTTTGTCACTTTGTCTAGGGCCTGTGGTTCCTGTAAGAGGGCAGGGCCCTGTTTTGCAGGGGGATTGCCTCCATTTGGAGCTTGCTTTTGAAGTCAGTCCAGCCCAATCTTTACTGGCAGATGACTATGTGCCAGGCACCAGACTTCCCCTGAACTTGATGATCAGCAGCACTGACCTCTTTAGATGGGGGTGAGACAGGGAGAGGCTGACCCACATGGGCCTGGCTGACCCAGAACCCATGATCCAGGTATCCTCAGTTTTAGCTTTTCCTCTTTATTATATGTCCCTGCTCAGAAGAAATGAGGACCCCCCCCCCAAATCCACTGCTTCAGTGGAAACAAATGCAAGATGTATAGAAAACCAGCAATTCTGTGAACTTAGAAATGCACCCAGAATTCCCCACACTCTTTCCCTCAATTTGCAAGAAACAGAAGTCCATCTGCCCCTGTTTTCCTCCATCATTTGGGAAGTATTTATTTAGGACCTACTGTGTGCTGGGCCTGAGCACAAGGGTGCAGTAGAGAGTCAGGCAGCCAGTCCCTGGCCTGGGGAGGGGTGGGGGGAGCTGTGGAAGAGGCTTCCCACTGGTGAAGTCAAACAGAGCTCCAGAGCCTGACCCTATCACTTAACTGGGACCATGTGTGTCTGACATGAACTTGCAATCTTGGGCCATTAATGGGTGAGCTTTAAAAATGATTTTTCCTGTTTCAAAATGAGATTGGCTTTGAGCCCCAAGCTCCTCCATGGGCTGTCTAAAATTAGAACCCCGTTGACAAGGCGATCTTTGTCAGGGGCCCACGGCTTGCACTGGGGAAGCAGGGAAATGTCAACAGTACATTTTCTGTGTCAGTTTTGAGTTTTTTGAGAGGCCCGGGCAAATGGCAATGCAGAGCAAATGTTCAGTTTCCAGAGCTTTCAGAATCCAGCCCCTCGGCAGCAATGTGATTAAAGCATCAGGTTTATAAGGAGCCGGGTCTGTGCTCGGGAGAGCGGCCTCCGCCCCCTCCTGTGCAGACAGCAGTCCAGCCCGAGCTGCACAAGCTCAGGGTAAGCGCTTTCATCCCTGTGAGCTCTGTGCTTCACTGTACCCTCGACATCCCTGTTGTGACGAGGATGGTCCTGGAGCTGAGTGCTCAGGCCTTACCCCTGGGGACACCCTGGGCTCAAGGATTTGCCCAAAGGCCGGGAAGCAGGCACCCATGGCTGGGTTGTAAATGATGTGCAAGCAAACCAGCGGCACAGGACAGGTCACAGGCTACCAGGCAGGGAGATGCTGGTTGTGGCCCCGCAGCCGCCAGCCTGGGAGCCCATCAGAGAAGCGCGTGCTCGGGCTGGGCGCCTCTGCCCCTGTCTTTGTATCATCCCCTGGTGTGATTTACATCGGTCTCCGCCACTGTGTGGGAGAAGGGCTCCAGTGACAGAACGTGTGTGCAGAAAGTGGCCCAGGGACACTCTGTCAACAGCACTGCCGTCTCCGAGGGGCTGGGGGCCCAGCTGTCACTGAAGTGGTCCTCACACACGTCTACAGCCTGATGACAAGGCCCTTCCAACCCCACTGCATGCCCCTCTCTCCCTCCCCTCCCCTACGGACCTGCTCCAGCTCGGTGCCCTGGCCCCTGCTCCTCTGGAAGGCCAGTCTGCAGCAGGAAGCTCTAACCTTCCAGCCCGGCCCGGCCCTCCCACCTTCCTTCCCAGCACTTGCTCACCCTGAGCCCCGTTATTGCCATAGAACTGGCTGGTGCTTCTGGCTCAGTCCTTCTAAGGCCCCAGGCCTGGGGGGCAAGGCCATGTGTGTCTCCAGAGCCCAGCATCTGGCCAAGGCTGACCAGGCTGGAGAGCAATCCCAGAGAGGACTCAGTGCCTGTCTGCTGCCCCCTTGAGGCGTCTGAACCCACCGGTGTACCACGGTGACCCATGGGCTGGGCCACCAACTTCCCAGCAACTCCCCCTCACAGACAGACCTCAGAGCTGCTTTTCTTTTTTTAAGTTATTTATTTTTTGATGTTTATTTTTGAGAGACAGAGAGAGACAGAGCGCAAGTGGGGGAGGGGCAGAGAGAGAGGGAGACACAGAATCCAAAACAGGCTCCAGGCTCTGAGCTGTCAGCACAGAGCCCGACGTGGGGCTCGAACCCACGAGCCGCGAGATCATGACCTGAGCCGAAGTCGGATGCTCAACCAACCGAGCCCCCTGGGTGCCCCAGACCTTCTTAAAAAAGACAGAGCCAGGCTCCTGATCCCATTTACAGATGAGGAAACTGGGGCCAGAGGGAGGCCAGGAGACTTGCCAAAGGTCGTGTGGTGATTGCATGGTGGCCTCCAAAACAGATGTCTGTGTGCTAGCCCCCCACCCAGACCCTGACTCTGGCCTTAGTTGGAAGTGTCTTTGACGGTGTGACTCGGACAGGATCATCGAGGATCAGGGTGGCTCCTGACTCCAATGACAAGTGTCCTGCTAAGAGACCAAAGCAGAGAAGACACAGAGGAGAAGCCCTGGGCCAGAGATTGGAGGGATGTGACCTCAGCCTAGGACCACCTGTGGCCACCAGAAGCTGGAGGAGGCAGGGAGGTCCCTCTCCCAGAGATTCTGGGGCAGCACAGAGTGTGACACCTCGATTTGGGGCTTCGAGCCCCCAGAACTGGGAGAGGACACCTCTCTGCCGTTCCAAGTCCCCAGTCTGTGGTCACTTGGTACGGCTGCCCTGGGCGCGTGCACAGTGACTTAGAGGAGTTGAGTCCTGGGAACCCTGTGTCCATCTCCTCCTGCTCCCGGCCTTGACACCCCTTCTTCTCCTTAAAGAGTTCCAGAGCAGTCTGGAGCTCTGTCCTTGGAGACCCCCTCCCTGGGTGGTGGGTGGCCTGGGCCCAGGGCCATCTAATGAGAATGGTGACCGTAGGAACTTGACCTGGGTCGCCGGGCCCTAGCCTGGGTCTGAGCCGTGCCTTGTGCCCCCAGGTGCGGGCCATGAGGCTCTCCTTCGTGGGGGAACTGGGCTGGGAGCTGCATGTGCCCAGGCTGGCCTGCGTGCCCGTGTACCAGGCTGTGATGGCTGCGGGCACCAAGCACGGCCTCGTCAACGCCGGGTACCGGGCCATCGACTCCCTGAGCATCGAGAAAGGTGTGTGCAGGGGCCACACAGCGCCAGTGAGCTGCCCAGAGCCACCATGCTGCAGGGGGGGGGGCGGGGGGGCGTCCCCCTGTGTTTCTTCCCTGCGCCACTCCCCTTCCCACTTACCCCTTCATGTCCGCTTCCCCAGCCTCCCCTCCGACCCACCCCTGCACTGCCCGCAAACCATGTCTTCCACGAAGGCCTGGCGATGGATGGCGCTTGGGTCCCTGATGGCAGTACTTGGAGGGGGAGGGGGAGGGGGCTTGCCCGGGTTTGTGGGGGTGCGGCCGGAGCTGGGTTTGGACGGGGTGCAAACCGGGAGGTTTGAGGACTGTGAGGGCAGGGCTGCTCAGGTCCCTCCCTGGCGTCTCAGCCCGCAGGGCAAAGGCTGGAAGGGGCATCTGCTGCTGGGCACTGACCCCGGGGTCTCTGCCCCACAGGCTACCGGCACTGGCACGCCGACCTGCGCCCAGACGACAGTCCCCTGGAAGCGGGCTTGGCCTTCACCTGCAAGCTCAAGTCTGCCGTCCCCTTCCTGGGGCGCGAGGCCCTGGAGAAGCAGCGGGCCGAGGGCCTCCGCCGGCGTCTGGTGTGCTTCACGGTGGATGAGTGAGTAGCCCGTGGTCCTGCATCCGTCCGTCCGTCAGTCCATCCAGTAGGGCAGGGTCGGCAGGGCCTGAGGGGACGGCGGGGGTGGGGATGGGGGCAAAAGACCAAGGCGCCGCCAGACTGCATCCTGAGGGTGGATACAGACTGAGGTCACCACGTGGTGACCCCTCACTACGTTCCCATTAAATCCCCCCCAAGACAGATGGCGGAGGGAAGGCCAGGCTGCAGCCACCAGCCCCACTTGGAGAACGGGGGTGTCAAGGACAGGGTAGCCCGGGAGGGCTGGCTTTGAGCAGGTGGTTCAGTTGTGTCCTCAGGATCTGGCCAGTCTGTCCCTGGATTCCACCTGGGCAGGGGGGTGACTCTGAAATGACAGGACCAGGCTGGTGTCAGTACCGCTGCGTCTTCGCGGGAATCTGAGTGGCAACGGTCTCCAGGCCTGCGGCTGAGCTTTGCTGATTTGCAGCTGACAGGCCCCCCCAAACGGAGCCACTCTCCCAGGTTTCTGGAGCCGTCAACGGGAATGTCAACAGCCATGGCGGGGAGGGGTGCAGGGGGCAGAGAGGGAGCTGAGCGTGGCTTGCCATCACCCTGCCGCTTCCCGCTCGGCTCCAGGCCGGGCCCCCCGTACGCCGCCTGCCCGCCTGCCGGGGAGCGGCTCGGGCTCCAGTGTGGGGGTGCAGATGGAGCAGGGCCCTGTGGAGCCCCTCCGGCCCCCGGCCCCCCAGGAAGCACCTGCAGACCGCCTGATGCCTGTGTGGTTCCCGGGGCCTCAGATGCGCCCGCCCCAGCCCACGGGCCTCACAGGGCCGCCAAGTCCACCGCGTGCGGCAGCCAGGGCGGCCCCGGTCCCGAGGAAGGCCAGGGCCGGGACGCGGGCTGTGGAGGGGCAGGGCGCGGCCACTTTGCCCTGGGCCCTGTGCGGGGCCGCAGTTCCCCCACCCCAGCCTGTTTTCTCACATGCAAAGCACACGCACCCCACAGGCCTGAGTGGGACGAAAGGGCAGGGATTTGTCCCAGAACCGCCATATCTCCTGCCTCCCCCCCTCATTCACGGGGAGCCCAGAGCCAGAGGCCCCCTCCGCCTGTCCCCATGCCTTGGCTCCAGGTCGGAGCCACACAGCTGCTCAAAACCACGGGCCCTCACCCCCTCTCCCAGGGGGCTCCTGGCCCTGGGCACCATAAGGCTCTGGATGATGGTGCCCATCATTTAAACACCACGGATAAAACACCCAGCGGGCAAGTCTGCAGAGATTTGCACTAAAACTTGCCAGTTACTTCCGGATGCTGGCGCATCCGTAATTGTAGTTTAATCTCTGTGTTTTCTCATCTGAAATTTTATAGTCTGCATGCGTCCCTTGCGCGTACTAAACAAAAGTCCTTTTGATAGATGATGTGTCGTACTGTGGAGAGAACACAGTAAAAACAGCCTTGGGGCAACAGGCTTACTCAGAAGAGAACGGAAAGCAGGTTAAAAGAGGGGCTGTTCCCAGGCACCGGGGTCTGTCCTTGCAGACGCGAAGTCGGGGCCAGGCGCTGGTCTTTTCTGCTCCTTCATTCATCTGCTCGGACGCAGTGCCCGGCGACCTGGGGCCAGGCGCTAGCTGGCACCAGAGTCCCAGGCAGGCCGTGGAGTGGCGCCAGGCCCCGGCGTGCGGGTCCCCATCTCTCTCTTGCTTCTTCCAGAAAAGTGCCCATGTTCGGCCTGGAGGCCATCTGGAGAAACGGCCAAGTGGTCGGCCACATCCGGAGGGCTGACTTCGGCTTCGCCATTGACAAGACCATAGCCTACGGCTACATCCGGGACCCGAGCGGCCAGTCGGTAAGCCCGCCCCACCCCAGCTCTGCCAGGGGAAGCCCGGTTCCTCGCCAGGCTCCCTGTCAGTGCCCCAGCGCCGCCCATACCCCTGCACCCCTGCAAGTGACGAGGTCACGGTTGATGGGGCCGTGTCTCTGGGAGGGGTCAGCGCTATTTCTGTATTTTCTTTCTGAAAGAATCTGGCTTTTGGGAGCTTCTCTTGGTCATAAAGAGGGTCTGGGCCAGGGCTAACGCCCTCTGCTCCGGGAGCCAGAGACCCAAACCTCGAGCCTGGGGTGGATGCCAGGGAGAGCTGAGGCCTGGACCCGGACCCTCCCGAGAGCACGTTCCTCTCCTCTCTTTCCTCGTCGCACGTGTGCCCCCTCTGTGGGGTGCACATGCGTGCCAACACCTGTGTGCACGTACAGCAGTGCACACACATGTACACACACGTGTACTCACACATGGACACGTGCATGCATGGACGCGTTTTGCCACATGACCATTTATAAACCCCAGTGACCCCCACTGAGCCCAGCCCGTCCCTGCACAGTGGCAGGGGGTGGGGGAGGGGCAGGGAACAGGCCCATCGAGGGCCTGCAGGGGTCGGCGCCCGGGACAAGCTCTTGCCGGAGTCTGGTCACAGGGTGACAGCGGCATGGGCTGGGGGCTGTGGCGAGACGGAGCCGGGGGAGGACTCGCTGTCCTAGCACCTCTATACCCGTGCTCGCCCGCCTCCCTGGAGGCCTGCACCGGCCCTCTGACAGCCGGGAAACTGAGGCCCTGCAAGGCTCTGACCGTGGGGGCTGGGACGCCCACCCAGCCCTCGGGGGACCCCAGGCTGCAGCCCCCTCCCTCCCACCAGAGGCTCCAGAGGGAGAGCCGCTTGGAAGGATCAGCAAGGAGGAGGCGGATGTGAGTCAGACCGGCCCAGGCAGGGGTGCAGGGGACGCGCTGGGCCCGCCATGTAGGCCTGGGCGGGGGCTCCCCCCCGGGCTTGTGGGGGTCCTGGGACCCGGGCTCCCTGTCCTGTGTTGCTGGCAGAGGAGAGACCTCTAAGAACAGAGCCCCCGATGCCTTGTCCACGGCCCTGGGGGTGGACCCGTACCAAGAGCGCAGGATCCCCACACGGGGCCAGCGTGCCTGGGGCCAGGCACACGGTCTTTTTCCTGCTCCCCGGTGTCCCAGGGACCCGCAGTTTCTGCAGCTGGAGGTGTCCCCACGGGCTGCCAGACCCCGGCTCTGCTGCGGCCCCAGGGTGTCAAGTCCACCTCAGGGCGCCTGCGGGCTCAGGGCAGCTCCTGGGTTCGGAGAAGGGCCCGTGGCACAAAGATGGGTTTGCCCGCAGGGAGGCAGGGAGGCCGAGCCCCGCTCCGGGAGGCAGGGAGATGGGAGCCCAGCACCCGCGGGGAGCGGCTGACCTGCACCCCTCGTGCTCTGTGACAGGTCTCGCTGGACTTCGTGCAGAGTGGGGACTACGCTCTGGAGCGCATGGGCGTGGCGCACCCTGCCCGGGCTCATCTGAAGTCTCCCTTCGACCCTGACAACAGGAGGGTGAAGGGAATCTATTGATACCCCCGCGGGACAGAGCTTCGGTGCGTCAGGAGGCCAGCGGCTGCTCCGTCCCTCGCTGACCATCCCCACGGGGCCCGCCGCCCTGGCCCAGGACCCGGACCCCAGCCAGATCGGGGTCCTCCCCGCCCCCACAGTGCAGCTCTGCTACCCCCCAAAACAGACACTAACGGCCCCAGAGGGCCCGTCCACCCCTACCCCCCAAAACAAACCTGCAAGTTCTCGGGCTCAGGGAGCATAACATGTGGCCCTCTAGAAGCTTCCGAGAAGGTGCGTCGTTAACCCCTAGTAAGCCCAGTATAAAAGCAGGGAGGCAAAGAGATCCGCCGGGTTCCCCAGGCCTGATGACCAGAGGACTGTCCAGAGCAGAGCACCGCTGGGAGAATTCCGGGTGCATCCAGAATTAGGGGCAGAGTGAGGACTGATTAGCACTGTCTGCCTCGGGCACGGTAGCAAAGGCCCAGAGCAGGGGTGCCAGCTTGGCTCCATCCCTGCAGTCAAATCAGGCCGGCCAGGCCCTTGGGCACGATGGTCCATTTCCCAGAGGTTGGCAGAGGAGGGAATCTAGGAAGCAAGCTCTTCCTGCCTTAACCTGTTTTTCACGCGGGAAAGCGTTCTGGGCCCTCCCAGCTCTTGAAAGAAGTGAGCAGAAGCAGGGGCTGGGAGGGGTGGGTCTCACACCGGTGCCCTCCCTCACCCATGCAGAAGCCCCACCTTCTGCCTCGATTTCCCCAAGAGCACATCGTCCTCTAGGTCTGTGAAGGAGCGGCGTGCTGCCGGATGAGAACCTGACAGACCCCTCCTGCCTGTGGCCTGTGGCCTTACTTTTTGATTGGGATGTTCCCTCCTATCTCTCCACTGGTGGCCCCAGAGAAGGACCTTGCACAGGGGCTTAAAAGGGGTGACTCCCCTGTACCCCGTCTCTGGGCCTTCAGAACTCTCTAGCATCTGCCTGTGTGGCCCTCCTCCCTGCCTCCCTGGCCCGGATGAGGGTCTGTCCCACCCCGTGCCCCTGTGCCAGGACCCCCATCACCTCTCTAGCTGCCCCCAAGATTCCGACGCCCACCAGGCAGCCCGGGGCTGCACAGGAGGCCTTGCCCAGGCGTGCCTGGCTCTGGGGAGCAGAAGGTGACAGATGTGCAGGGGACACGGAGGGCGCGGCTCCCACAGACGCTCGCAGGAAACCACACGGTGACTGGGGCCGGGGCAGTCCCGGGCGGGCCCTGGCTGCTGCACAGGTCAGGTCAATAAAGCCGAAGCTTTATTGGGAAGACGCTTGGGTCTCACATGGAGCCTTTGGAAAGCTTTGTGGCCCCCGCCCCCTGCACCAGGCCACAGGCCGGGAAGCTTGCGCCTCTGGGTTTTGCACGCCTCTGGCAGAAACCTGGAAACCTGTGGCCTCCCAGCTCACAGGCAGGTCTGGCCCCCCGCCCCCGTGGGAGAGTCTGGGGGAAGCCGAGTGGATCCCGAGGGGCCAGAAACGCACAGGAGGGGAGACACCTTCCCAGATGGCCTGGCCTGCTTCCCCAGGCTCCGCGGTTTGGCCCCAGAGCCCTGGGTTGGGCCGGGGTACATGTTTCCCCCACAGTCTGTCCTGCGTAGGGGGAGGCTAAGCGTGAGGATGGAGGGCGGCTCCAGGTTCCCATCTGACCCCTCCCTCAGGGGCTGAGCTCGGAGACAGGAGTTTTGGCACGAGCCCTCGCTGTTGGCACGTTTGCTTCTCTGCCGGGGAGAAATGACCGGCCCCTCTGGAAAGGGCACCGAGCATCGGGTCACACCGTGGGAGAGTCCAGGGAGCCACCTCCCAGCTCTGCCACCAGCCAGCTGCAGGAAGCCGGGTGGGGGGCAGCCCCGGCCGTGCTGCCTCGGCGGCCTAGGGCAGGGTGAGTGTGTCCCCACGCCGGGGCCCCGGGACCCATCCTCTGTCACCCCCAGTCTAGGCACCTGTCGCCCCACCCGGTGTCAAAGGTTTTCGTGGACGACAGCATGGCCCTCAGCTGGCTGAGCAGTGCCTGCCAGGGGTTGTGGGGAGGGGCCCCTGGAGCTCGAGGCCCCGGGGGGCACCGTGCCCTCCGCAGGGCAGGCAGGCGGCCCCTGCGCACACGCCGGTCCTGTTGGCTCCTGCCTGTCAGGAGGGCTGCACTGGGCTGCCAGACACGGCCCGGGTGCGTCGGGTGGCCAGCCCGCCGCCTCCGGTCTTCCAGGGGTGAGTGGGGAAGAGCCCGGCTGGCAGGGATGAGGTGCCCGCCTCCCCAGTGAGGATCAAGGGCCTTGGCAGTGGAATGCCCAGGTGCCTCCCAGCCCGCTCCGTCCCGGGTCTCCCATGTCACCTCCCCCCTCCAGCATGGCAAACAGAAGGGACAAGGAAGCGCTAGGGTAAGAGACACACGAGAATCACACCCAAAGTGATTGTGGACAAGGAGCCCATCATGTGCTAAGGTCCTGGGGTGGGCCTGACCCACCATGTGACCAGGGCCAGGGTCATACCTCATCTGGGCCTCAACCGTCCCATTTGCAAATGGGAAGTGGTGGGGAGGGGGGTCAGAGTCATGCTCCCCACTCTGCCTCAGCTTGGGGACACCCCCGCTGGGGCTCCTGCCTGCTGAGGACCCTCCTTGCTCTGGTGGGAACACCGTCTAGCCCAGATGGGGCCTGAGTGCTCATCTCAGCCCCCCCTCCCCACCATGAGAGGCTTGCCCAAGGCTCCCATGTCGCTGTCACTGTCACTGTCGGGGTGGTGGGTGGCGAAGCCATGTGGCTCTGGGTCACCGGGAGCCCTGGGAGCCTGGTGGGAGCCTCACTCCTCTGATGGCCCTCGCCTGGGTTGCGAGTGGAAGGAGCAGACCGTGAAGGGCTGCGTGGCGCGAAGGGCTTGGCAGAGTGTGGCCACCGCTGCCGCCGCAGGGCCACCCGTCACCCCACGTGTCAGCCACAGGCTGCGGAAGGAGGGCTCCGGGCTGTGGCGGCAGAGGGCCTCAGAACGCTCCCAGCCTTGTCCTTCAGGCTCCAAGTTAGAGCGCCCCCCGCTAAATGCCCCGCAAGCTCAGGAGCCCCTCTCTGACCCAGGGCTCCAAAGGCCAGGCTGGGAGGTGACTGCCCCTTGGCCTGCCCCCTGGGCCTGGGCGCCGCCCGTCCCCTCCCCCTCCCCCCAGAACGGGCTCCCCTGGACCTGCTGGCCCCTGGTGACCCTGCATGAGCACCGAGGCATCCCTTAGCAACTGCGACCTTTGGGTCTTCCTCCCCTCTCCCTCTCTTCTCCCCCTCCCTCTCCTTTCCTCTCTCTCCGCCCCTCCCCTCTTCCTCCTCCCCTCCTGGAGCGCATGTCTCTCAGATAGCGAGGAAGGAGCTGGAGCAAAGCCCAGGGCAAAGCTTTCATTTCCCACTGGGAAGGGGGATGGCTGCCGCCGGCTGGGGCTTCGCAGCGGGTCCTGCTGTCCTTCGCCCTCTCACTCGGTTCTAGAATCTGGCGCTCCCCTCTGGGTACCTCTGGAGCCTGACCCGGCTCCCGCCCCCACGGCTACCCCCGGCCCCTGGTTACTGCGCCGGCCTCCACTAGCCACTGCCTCCCTGCTGCAGCCTCTCTGGCCTCTCAGCCTCCCGCCGCCCCTGCCCACCCTGCTCAGCCTCGCCGGCCTCCCCCCTACCCTGTTCCCCACTCTCACCTCGGGACCTTTGCTGGGACTCCCCTCCTCACCTCCCCCCAGTATTTTAACTAACTTTCCCCTTTCCCAACAAGCCTGCCCCTCGTGGCCGCCGCCCGCAGCCGGCTCCCCCTACGGCTCTGCCCGCTGCCCTCTGTGCACTGTTTGCTTCTTTTTGGTCTGTTCCCTGTCTGCACCCCCCCCATGGAAGCCGGGAGGACCCCATGTCCTGCTCAGGGTGCCGCCCCTGCGCCTACCCCAGGGCCTGCCCCGCAGCTGGGACTGGATAAGCAGCTCAGACCGGAGGCAGGAGAGGGGTGGGTGGGGGGAGACCCAGGACCGGAGGGACGGGGGGGGGGCGAGGACACCTTGGGGACAACTGTGATGGTCCTGATTCCATTCTGGATCCAGACCTTCAGGAACAAATGTGATGAGGGCGACCTCCTCAGCCCACTCAAGTCAGGTTGTCAAGGGGGCCACCACGCACCCCCTGCCGAAGTTCCGAATCTCAGAGGGAGGGCTTCCTGGATTCCGGTCCAGAATCTTCCCTTGATGGCTCCCCAAGTCCCTATTAGGAATCTTCCACAAAAACAGAAGTTCTGGCCTGGGACTCAGGGGACACGGCAGGCTGCTTTCCATCCCAGAACCTCCCGGAGATTCAGGGAAACGTGGGGTGTGTGCGTGAGGCGGGGGGGGGAGGTGGAGAAAATAGAACGGCGTGTGCCCCAGGAGGCTGCTCGTGGTTTTCAGTGCATGTTACACGGACTGGAGGGGGCGAGATGGGTGCTTTGCGATCCGGAGAAGCTTCGGCTTGTGCTGCAGCGGAACAGAGAGAAGGTGGGGGCGCCCGGGATCCTTGGGACATAGTTTCTCCATCTGCACAACAGGATGGATGGGGGCCGGGGACCAGGCCAGCCGTTGGCAGCTGGGGGCCAAAGAGTGCTCAGAGCCTGTCCCTGAGGGGCATTCGGGGCCCAAGGGAACATTCGGCTGGTCACCATGGGGCTGCTGCTGAAGCTTTGTGTGGTGCGGGGCGCAGGAAGCCCAACCTTCCAGAGCCTGAAGGACAATCCTTAGCCTTTGAGACCCGAGACCCATCCTGCCAAAATGCATCCGTGGACCATCCCGGCCCCCCTGCGGTGGCCCAGCTGCTCTTTGCCGATGAACCAGCTGAGCCGCTCCCCGTTCCCTCCCCCCCCCCCCCCCCCCCCCCCCCCCCCCCCCCCCCCCCCCCCCCCCCCCCCGGCTGCTCTGGGAGGCCGGTGCTGTCTGGGACCGCAGCCTGGGGCAGCACAGCCCTGGGGCAGCTGGTGCTGAGCGAATGCTCTCTACCTGCAGCATTGCAGCCTCGGCCCCATGTAGCTGTGGAGCATTTGAAATGTGGCAGGTGTGTGCTCGCTTCGGCAGCACATATACTGAAATGTGGCAGGTGTGACTGAGAACCCAAATGTCCCCTTTTATATCATCTTAATTCATTGAAGATTATGCTCGTATAGCCGCATGAGGCTGCTTGCTGAGCACCGGGCAGCACGGCCCTGGAGCGTCCTGGGGCCGGCACTCACCCGCTCTGGCTGGAGCCTGCAGACCGAGAAGGCCCGCCCCCGCCCCCCCTCCAGACCCCTTCTCAGCATGGATGCTGGGCGAGCACACCTCAGCCTGGAGCTCAGGGCGCTTCACCGCCGATGGCTCATGTCACCCTAGCAGCCCCTGCCCCTCAATGGGCAGCAAGAGAGGCGGGCCCAGAGAGGGAAAGCAGCTTGCCCGAGGCCACACAGCAGAGAGGAATGGGAACCCCGGCTGCAGGCTGTGAGGCCCTCACTCTTCCTCCACCAGGCTGCTCAGACGAGCCTGGAAGGTCGCTCGAGGGACTTGGGCCGCAGTAGCACCCCTCACCCTGACAGGTTGTTTTCAGGTAATAAATCGGTTCTCCCAGACGCCCTTGCTGAGCCCTCACAGGGCACAGGGATGGTGCCTACGGCCTGAGGAAAGGGAGGTGGAGAGGCCAGACTGTCTAGTCGACATACCCAGGGTGGCTGCCAGGTTGCATGGCTCCCTCTGGGTGACCCCAGCACCTAACTGTAGGGCTCTGTGCCTCAGTTTCCCTTTGTGTCGATGGGAGCAGAAACGGCTAAGCTGTGGGTTTGCTGGACGGGCTGGCACAGAGCCAGAGTGCACACCAGGGCAGCTCTTAGCAAGGGCAGGGATGCAATAATCCAGGGGTGTGGGGGGGCTGTTACAGCTAGAGCAGGGTGGGGCAGGGTGCACGCAGGGGTCTCTGCAGGAAGCACGCAGGCTGTCCCAGGGGCAAGAGGAAGACCAGCCCCAGAGGGCGAGAGTGAGAGAAGTGGTGGGGGGAGGGGCTGGCATCTGGGTGGCAGAAAGTTCTGGAAGGGTGTGTTTCCCTGTCACTACTAATCGTCCCGGGACCCTGGGTGAGGCGCTTCTCCTCTGGGGAGATTGGGAGGGAAGGTGCCGTGTTGGGGAGGCGAGGGGCTCAGGAATGAAGTGACGGTGGCCAGGAAGGGCTCAGGGGGTGTGAGGCGGGCTCGCCGCGTCTGAGGGTCCCCCTGGCACCTCTCCCACAGTCCCCGGCTGACCAGGACCTTTGTCCCGTCTGGCAGTCCTCACGGCCGGCCGGAGGTAAGGGGCCTTGTTGGGCAGGACACTGCGCCAGGCCCCCTCCCGAGGCCCGCCCCTCTCCCCCACATGTCCTCCCAGGCCATAAAGATGACGGAGGGCCGGCCGGCTCCCCAGCCTCTGTCGGGCTGGCACTTTGCAGTGACCGTGCCCGTGACTTACGGCGCGGGAAGCCGTGATTTATACGACGCACTGCAGAGCGTCTGGGCCCATTTGTCTATAATGAAGTGGCTCAGAAGGAGAGGCAGCCGCTTAGCTGCCGGGTTTTGAGCAAGGAGCACGGGGAGGCCCATCCATCACCCTCCCGCTCCCCTGGAGGCTGTGCGGCGTTCTGCTGAACTGGCCAAATCTGTCCCTCCCTGCAGAGACCAGCAAGGGGCCAAACGTGGCCTTAAACGGGAGGCAGCGCAGAGGGGACGAAGGTGGAGACTGACCCAGGACGCGTGGGGCAGAGCGCCCACGCAGAAAGGAGGCTCAGACAAGGCCCCTCCCAGGGGGCGGCGCCACGCCACCCTGTGTTAGACGTCCCCGGGCGCCGGCCCACATGTGAGCTTCATGGTCTCGTTCACCCAACGGCATTGGCCCCATTTTCTGGATGCGGAGACTGAGGGTCAGGGAGGTGGAATGGCCCACCCAAGCCCACACAGAGCGGGCCTGGCTCCGGAGCCCAGTCTGTTAGGCACCTGTCCCACTGCCTCCGAGGAGAGCCGCGGGGCTGATGGTGCCGCTTCCCCGAGGGGCTGGCACCCAGCTCCTCGTCTGGGTCTCTGCCAACTCACCCTTCAGGGCTAGTGATGCTTGTTAGTGTTTCCCTTTAGGTGGGCGAAAATATCTGTTTACCCTGCAGAGAGCAGCCTCCCCAGGCAAATCTCTAACTAGCTAAGTGGCTGTCCTGCCTCCGTGGCAGGGAAGACGCCCACTGTGACAAACGAGCCACTCTGCAGGGAAATGTTTAAGTAGCACATGTACCCAATGCACCAACACAGATCGCCGTCGCTGGGGGCTGGGGACACGGGGGGCCGTGGGGGGGTCTGCCCCGCAGCTAGGACCAGCCCCTCCCAGTGCGGTAGGTGGGGCTCTGGGCCACCCAGGGGAGTGCAGAGAAGGCCTTGGTCGCCCCAGTCCCAGGTGGGTCAAAGGGACTCTCACAGGACCCTCTCGGCCATGCAGGGGGATCCTTGAGGGGCAAACGCTAGAATGGACCGTGGTCTCAGGCAGGGGCTGGCTCTGCCCATTCATCCTGGGCACACAGAGCTGTCCCGCAGGGGGTCTTCAAAGAGTGGGGGTGCACAGAGCTGGTGTGATTCCACAGCCACGGCGCCGAGCTGGGAGCGAGAGACCGTCCCCCACTCAATCTCTGCCCCCGCCGATGCTGACCACGGTGAGGCCGGAGGGGCCCTGCCCCTGGCTGGCTGGGCAGTGACGGCTGGGCTTTTCTAGCTTGAGGACAATCTCAGGAAGGGGCTGCAGATTCCATTCGCCCTGCGAGGAAAGGACCAGGAGGTAAACTGAGGCTGGAGGGGTGAGATGAGGCAACATCTTCCCAGCGACTTTCTCCCATGACCTCCTGGACTCTTGCCCTGAAATTCACCTTATCCCAAACCCAACTCACCCTCCTTCCCTCCAGCTGGAGTCACCCCAGCCCCCACGCCCTGCCTGCCCCTCGCTTGAACAGCCACCCAGCGGAAGCAAGCAGGACCCCTGGGTGTAGGCTGAGCTTTCAGCCCCTCCTCCCCAACAAGCCCGCCCCAAATGCCGAGTTTCCAACCATATCAGACGTCCACACCGCATCTCCCTCCTGGGCCAGCATCAGCCCTGCCCTCGGGGCCCAGGATGTATGATTCGGCCATTAATGCGGCTCCCAAAGGCGGGAAATCTGTCTCCCAGACTTGCAGGCTTGCGGACCCTTCCCCACACCCTACTCAGCACCAGCCAGGCCTCCACCAGCACCCTCTCTGCTCTCGGGAATAAATGAGATGCCCTCGAACCCCAGTGGGTCCCAGATAAGGAGGCCCCACCAGCCAGCAGCCTCAGGCTGGTTGGCTTCTCGCCTGCCCCCCGCCCCCGCACTTTATTTTTAGACTCTGGGGGTGTTGCCGGTGCCCTACTCACACCCCCAAGACTAGTCCTGGGATGCGATGTCGCCTGGGAGAGGGCCATCAGTTCTATCAGCCTGTCTGGGCCCGTCTGCCACCACCCGATTTCTCCAGCTGTTCTGAGGGACTGTTTTGACCAGCTCCTTGGAGCGCAGCCCTATAGCCCCATCCTGGGGTCCTCGTGGGGGCCAGGGGTGCACAGGGGCACACCCAGGGACTTGCAGACGGCTGGGGGTTGGAAGGTGTGGGGGTGTCGCCTCGCGCGGGTGGCCTGCCGCAGCGCCACCTGCCCCCCCCCCACATACCTGGAAGCGAACGGCCGAAGACTTGTTGCAGTGCACGGAGATGGGGGCAAAGCCATACAGGGCCCTGAGCATCTCGCGATTGAAGGAGTTCCAGGGCACCGACTCAAACTGCTCAGGGACAGAGGCCTGGGGGCAGGTGCACACTTCCTCATCATTGAACCTGGTGGGGGGGTGGGGAGAACGAGCAGCCTGCCATGTGGTGGGGCCGATGGGGTGGCAGTGAGTGACACCCACCCCCCGCAGGTGGACTCAGGCCGCCTCCACCCAACCCCGCTGCCTCCACGCCAGCGATGCCTGGGAACGGCTGCTCCAGGGTTGGGCCCAGAGGGTTCCTCAGGCCAGTTCCAGGCTCAGCAAGGCGAGAGGATGGGGATCGATTAGCGATGCCTGCCGCGGGCACCGTACAGGAAGTGGAGGTGCGGCGGCCTCGTGCGTCTTCACCCTGCCCCCCGGAACTCAGCCTGGGCGCGTCACTCTTGCCCAGCTGCCTGACGGGGGCGTCCTCTGCAGAGCCCGGGGACGGGAACCCCCTCAAGCACGCTCCCGCGGAGCCTTCACCTGTTCACCAGGTGGAAATACTTCTGCAGGAAACCCGGGTCCACGGTGCTCTTGCAGAGCTCCAGCTGTGTCAGGGGGTAGTAGTGGATGTAGTTGACGCACATCTCCTCCGTGATAGCAAAGCCCCCCTGCGAGATGGGGAGACGCCCGTCAGGACCCGTGCCTCGTGCGGGGATGCTGAGGCTTCCAGACTCATTCACTGCGTTCACCCACTGCACAGCGCAGGTGCCGTTCCACGTGAGCCAAGTCCCTGCCTTCTGGGGATTCCCCGTCTCCCTTGACGGGACAGACAGCAAATGAGCCCGCCAGGAGCCGTGTCTCAGGCGGCAGCAAGTGTTAGGAAGAAAAAGACTATGACAGGGTGAGGACACAGAGGTATTAGTGCACCCATTTTATGGATACAGAAACTGAGTCCCAGGGAAGGTAAGGAGCAAGGCCTGAGTGGACACAACCTCCCAACTGTGGCTGAGGCGGGGTCCCCTCGCCCGTGAGAGCCTGGAGACGGAGGACGGCTGGGAAGAATTCCCCTCGCTCTGTGGAGTGGGCACCGTCCACCAGTCATTTCCAGAACTCGGCTCTGAGGCGGACATGGCGGCCTCTCAGGGCCACCCTGCAGCTTTGCCGTGTGGGACAGGGTAGAGGGGGCTCTCCCTGCGGCCTTGGGCTTCAGGGCCCTGGCCCGGTCCCTGTCCTTGGAGCCTAGACCCCGGAGGAGCAGGAGCAGGCGGCGCAGGGAGTGGGCCTGGGGGAGACGCCCCGAGTGGCCACAGGGAACAGCCAGCCCAGGCCCCCGGTGGCACTGCCCTGCCCGCCTTTGCCAAGTGCTGGGCTCCTGGCTCCTTGGGCACATGGGTGTGCGCCTGGGTGGGGGTGGGGCACCTGGCTGGCGGGAGTGTTGGGGGAAGAGAGGCGCGTGCTCCTTGGCAGCAGAAACAAAGTATGTGAAGAGCCCAGCTGAAGGCCACCTCAGCCCCGTCCCCGTGTGGACGCTGCCCTGCAGAAGGGCAGCGCGTTTACACAGCAGATTTCCCAGGAGCGGGCCTGCCCGGCTCCTGGGTGGCCCCGACCGGACGGTGTCACCTGCACTGTTCTCTGGTTCCCCGGGGTGCCAGGGCCCCGCGGCCACCGCCTGACCCCCTCGTCTGGTTCCAGGGCCCCTTACACCCTGCGCTCTGCTCGTGAGAGCCCTCCCTCTGCCTTCCCCTTGGGACGGAAATCACGTCACAAAGGCCCCCGTCTCTTGGGTGGGCGCGAGGGCTGTCCATGCCTGCCGGGATGCCCAGCTGCCCTGCTCCTCGGTCCCTCTGGGCGAGGGCGATGGTGACAGTTGAGAGGAGGGAGCGGGGCAGCTGGGGCCTTGGCCTGAAGAACGTGGCGTCTGAGACACCTGGGGTGCACCTGCCCTGAACATCCTGGGACCTGACACCAGTTCACCTCGATGAGGCAGGCGGGGCAGGACCGTGGGAGTAACACTGGGTGGGGGTGGGCCTGGGGGGTCCCTCCCCCCCCCCCCCGAGCTCACCTGCAGAATGGGCACGTATGATGGTCCTTCCAGGGGCCTGGCTCACCGTACAAGGGCTCAGAGCTCGCTACGGAGAGTCGGCCCGTGCGGGCTCGGCAGCTGGACCAGCCCTACTGCCTGCGGGGCCGAGGGNCCCCCCCCGTGAGCTCACCTGCAGAATGGGCACGTATGATGGTCCTTCCAGGGGCCTGGCTCACCGTACAAGGGCTCAGAGCTCGCTACGGAGAGTCGGCCCGTGCGGGCTCGGCAGCTGGACCAGCCCTACTGCCTGCGGGGCCGAGGGCCCTGCGCTGCTCCCCCAGCACCGTTTCCCCCCACGCCTGCCGCACAGAGTCCCGGTGGGGCTTAGAGGGGCGCTAAGCTTGGGCAGGGGGAGCCGTGGGGCCCGGCCGTGGGGAGCAGCTGCTGTTCTATGTACTGAGCCCCTCCTGGAGGCTGAAGAAGGGGGTGTGGGGTTTAGGTCAGGGCTGCATGCCTGCCAAGGCCTCCTACTCCCCGAGTTAATGACCAAGGACCCAGAGAAGTTGTCACCCCACAGCCAGAGGGAGGGAGGGGTCGTGTGTCAAGCGCATTGCGGGCACAGGGCCTGCTATCAGCTGTGTGACCCCCGGCAAGTGTCTTCCGTCTCGGAGCCTCAGCTCTCACCGTGAAAACACAGAGACCCCTCCCTTGACGACTGGTGTGAAGGCTGAACAGGAGAAGACAAGTCAAATGGTCACCACTGGAGAACAGGGGGGCCACGCTGCGGTCCGCGCAGACCCCGGAGCGGCACGTGAAGAGCAGAGACGAGCTAACGCTCGCTACGACTCGGACGGACCCTTGGGACGTGATGCTGGACTGCATGTACCTGGAGGGGTCCTGGGTGGGCAAACCCACAGAGATGGGAGGCAGGACGGGGGCAGCTCAGGGGCCAAGGGCCAGGGTTCCTTTGGGAAAGAGGTCATGTTCTAACCTTGACGGTGCGGACAGTCGCACACACCTGTGCAGAGCCTAGAACCTCCCTGGACGGCACGCTTTAAATGGGCGGACTGTCTGGTGTGTGGATTACATCTCACTAGAGCCGTTTGAGAAAACACCAAGGATTCACTAGCAGGAGGAAAACAGAGAGAGCAGTGCCGTGGGCTCCGCCTGTAGCCCCGGCTCTGTTCCGCCGGGAGCCTCGTGGTTCCCAGGATGATGGGGGGCGGGGGGCACAGTGATCAACGGGACGATTAGCAAAGCCGTGTTAGCGGGAGGCCAGTTTGCCAGGCCAGCCCTGATTGATGCCCGCTGAGCCCATAGGGTCATTAACAGCACCGGCTTTCACTCCGCAGAGCGCGCCGGCCGGGTGGCGGGGCGCAGAACCTGCCTTGAAGACAGTGTCCCCTCCCGGGCTACCCCCAGCGCAGCCCAGATGAATCCATTCACACCCTTGCCCTGCACAGTCAGCCGCACACCCGGGCAGACTTGTCTGTGCAAAAAGCCCCGAAGGGAATGGCATGAAAATTAGTGTTTCTGCCACCAACAGTCTGCAGGCTTATCACCTAGGGTCTGAGGGGGGCTCGGTCCTCGGACCCTTGCTGCAGCCTCCCCTCTGCCCGGGCACAGGTCACTTTCCCACCCCCGCCGCCCCGCCTTCCCTCCTGGCCCCTGGCCCTGTGCACCGTGCCGGCTTTCCGTGCTTCTGCTCCCCGCGCCTGTCTCGCCGGCCGGTGGAGCTCCGCACAGACGGGGGTCAGCCACAGCCCTCATCCCGGCGTCCGTACCCGGGGGCTGACATCTTCCTGCTGAGGCTCCAAACCCCGGCAGGCAGCAGAGCGCCTTGGGGACGCTTCTTAAACCAGGGCCGCCACGTGTCACAACCCAAGTTCCAACTCAAGGTCTGGAGTGGAGCCTGCGAGAGTTTGCTTCTCCCAAGTTCCCGGGGGGACCTGGCCGAGGGAGCCCTACCCCGGGGACCGACAGTTTACTGAATGAATGGGGGATGTCACCCCCTGCCCTCCAGCAAACCTCTAGGTAATGAGTTAAGACTTGTCCTCCTGAAAGGGTAAAAGCCCCGAAGGGGACCCCCCCCACCCCCGGCCCCAGGCCTCACACGTCCCCGGAGCAGGCAGCAGGGAAAAGTCAGGGGGACTCACCAAGGTGGTCAGATTCCTGTCTTCCGTGTTGTATGTACAAGAAGTGATGAGCACGTCCCCCTGGGCAGCCAAGCCAAGAGACGCCCGTCAGCGTCCGCCCACGTGGGGGTGACAGGCGCACCTGTGCTCCCGTGATGGACCACGCCCTGGCACGCGCCATGGCACGCAGTCATCCATCAATTCCTGAGGGGCCCCATGGTGGCCTCCGGGCCCCCCACGAGTGAGAGTCAAAATCTGGGTGTTCCCAGGGACCCAGCACCCACCGGTGTCGGCTTCCGTGCCCCTCAGCACATGGGCCGCAGGCGGGCAGGACTGCCGCGCAGCCTGGTGGGCCATGTCGCACCCGTGGGTGGACTTGGGCAAGCCCCTGCCTGAGCCCGGGCTCCCCGTCTGCATGATCAGGGGCCCCACCAGCAACCCCCATTTCCTTGTCCTTCCCGAAAGCTCGAAAGCGCGGGGCTTGCTGCCGGCTGACCAGGCCGGAGGATGCAAGCCCCGCCCCCCGCCCGCCCCCCGCCCGCCCCCCACCCCGGGGCTGCCTGCTCTGGGTCCTCTGTCACGTCCCCGGTGGATCTCACCTGGGGATGGCCCCAGCCCCTGCCTTGCATGGACGCGGTTCTAGAAGACCTTCACACGGCCTCTGCCATCCTCCGTGCCTCTCTGACCTCCTGTGGGGAGCACTCCCAGCCCCCCGGCCTCCCCATTCCCAACTGGGCACCCACCTGGTGCACAGACACCGGCTTCTTCAACATGCGGATCTCCTGGGAAGGGAGGGGAGGGTTCAGAGGGCTGCAGACCCAGCCGCCAGCCGCCTCTCCTCCCCAGCCCTCTGGGGCTGTGCTCCTGGCCCGCTGGGGGGAAGCCAGGACGGGCTGAGCACGGCCGCCGGGCAGGAAGGGATTGGGCCTGGAAGGTGCTTATCCGGGACGGGCTTTACATCGTAAGGCCGCCTGTCCCTCCCTTGGACCGGTTCCCCAGAGGAGAAGGGCTGGCTGTCGCGGGCTCTCAGGTGTCTGGGCCTGGCCCGGGGGGGCAGGAACCCAGCGTGGGCGCGTTCCTGCGGCCGGGGGACAGAGAAGGCCCAACAGGCCCGCAGCCTGGGCACCAGACAGGCCCCGGGGGCGGGCGGCCCTACCTGGAAGTGAGGGCTGTAGTGGTCGTCCTTGCTCACAACCTCCCTCTCTCTGCCGCCCCGGACCAGCACGGTGACCACCTGCCGCCCCGCCAGGTGTGTGTGCAGCTGAGAGGCAAAGATGTGGATCCCCGAGGGAGACAGGGCCTGGGGGGGGAGGGGCAGGGTCAGGGCCTGGCACGTGGGGGACCCTGAACCCGCCCTCCCGCTGCCCTCTCGCTGGCCGCCGGCCTGGACCATGGGCCCAGGGACAGTGACGCCGCGTCCACCCGCCCAGAACGTCCACCCTGTCCAGCCTCGTCTTCGTCCCTGGACGGCTGAGTCCCCACCAGGAAAGTCAGTAGGGAAGGAGTTGCCGCAGAGTGATGTCACTGTCACAGCCCCCAGAGGCTGCGGCCACCTTCCTCCTCCTCTGGCTGCTCCGTCCATTCTTCATTCACTCAGTGGACTTCAAGGGGAGCCCCGGGGGACAGGGGCCGCCCGGGTGAGCACAGTGTGGCTCCCGTGCTCTGCAGGCTCAGGTCGGGGGCTAGGCTGTCCTGTCCAGCGCCTGCTGGGCGCCAGCCTCAGCAGCTGCCCCGTGGCACGGCCTCACAAGGCACAGGGGACCTTCCCCTGCTTCACGGTCACATGGCACTGACCGCCGTGGCACCGAGCGTGGAAGCTGTCGGCTGGCCCTCAGAAGGGACCGCCAGCCCTCACATCGGGCCACCTTGCCTCCCCACTGAGGCACGAGGGGATTCCCGGAGGAAGGGCGCTCTCCTTCGCTCCACGTGGACTTGCCTTCGACCATTTCCTAGAACGATTCCACGTGTGAAGTGTTTTCTCCACCCGCCGCCTCCCTGACGGCACCCCACCGAGCTCCGCGCTGCACCGTCCACGCTGTCAGCGGCTCTGGGGCTCCTGTGGCCACGCTCTGTTACCAAGTGACCCCGGGCTGCGGAGATTTCTGCCCGTCGGCTGATTTCACCTCATGCTTTCCCTCTGACCCTCCACCTGCGCTGTCCTGCGCTTGGCCGTATGGAAACTTCTGGCCCCTCGCAATGATTTGAGGCTGGGAAGCCTCACGGCCACGCCTGTCACAATTGGGAGCCTCTGCTCGCCCGGAGGCGTGGGTGTCTGACGAGGAAAACGTGCCGTCCTGGGGCCTGTGGTCTCAGACGCCATACTTTTTCTTGGCTTGTCCGTTTCGACAAGATGTGTCAACCACGCCAGCCTTTCGGCTGCCGAATTGACGCCCCTCGGTGACGTGCTAAAGTCCCATTTGGAGGGGAAGAAGGGTAGGCTGAGCTTCTTCTTTCCCAATGGTGAAGTATCTGAGGCTGGTCTAGGATGCGCTCCTTAACATCACGGGGACTTGGTTTCGACAGAATGTTTCCTAACATGCCGGCTAGAGGCATTCTCCAGAGGCCAGAGTGCCACGGGCCACTTTCCCAGGTGCGCCGTCGGTGGGTCGCTCCCCAGCCCCAGGCCCGGCCACAGAGTGTCACTGATGGGAGCTCCGGGCACGCACCAGGTGCCAGTCTCGGGAAAAGGAGCTGATCTCCCGCACGGCTGACGGCTTGCTCTCTCCAGCTCGAGGGCACTCTGCTCCCTCATGGCGGGAAGCCGCAAGCTCGGGGGCCCCGTGGAGAACAAGTCCACGTGCAGTCACCTCACTGGACAGGCACGCGCACTGGACGCCGCATCGCAAAGCCGCCTGCTGCCGTGGGCCACAGCGCTACGAGTCAGAGACGTGCTCGCGGTCCGGCTCCTCGGCTGGGGTCAGGGGCAGCGCCCACCTAGCCGGGCGCTGTGGGAAGCCAGCGGCGCGGGAGAAAGCGTCGGCAGCAATCGCCACAGACGGAAAATGAAAAGAACCCCTAGATACGAAAAGGAAGACGAGCCAACGACCCACTAGGGAAACGGGACGAAGGCTGTGAGCAGATGTTCCCAGGAAACAGCGCACGGCCGCGGGACGGGCGAGAGGGCCCTCAGCCTCACGCTCTACGAACAGTCTGGAAATTCACACTGAACAACAGTGAGGTGTTTTTCCAAGTGATTGAGGAAATATTTAAAATATTGATCATGTGGGGGGTAGGCAGCCCCGGGGAACGGGGCACCCGCCCGTACCATGTGCCGGAGGAGGTATCGGATTCACTTTCTGGAAGGCATCTTGTGAGATTTTTTTCAAATTGAAGCTCGCGTCCTCTGTGCACGGCATTTTCTGGACACTACCTGAGAGAATGTTTTCCTGGTGTGTGAGGGTGTCCTTCTCGCCGTCAGTGAGAAGTCAGGGCAGGTGCACACAGGCAGGGCCGGATGACTCCGGGGAGCGCCGAGGGCACGGAGCCTGGGGGTCACTGCCGCTCCTTTGGAAGCGAGGTCCCCGCCGTCTGCTCCGGGGTCTACGTGCCGACCTGTGCCCCACGTGCCCTTGCATGGCCCCGAGATCGGTGCCCCCTGGCCGCAGCGGGGTGGCCCCGGTGAGGTCCACAGTGAAACCACGCCGGGTAAGGCTGTGTAGCCGCCAAAAGGCAGGTTATAGGACAAATGCTTCCTGTTCGGTCTGTTTGCTTTTAGACACCACATATAAGGGCACGTAGTGATTTATAGTCTGGAGGGACACAAAGGAGCTGAAATCGGGGTGTTTGGGGGTAGGGGGAGAGCGTGCTGCAGCCGTGATGCCTGCGGTTTAGGGGTGAAGCCATGTCTATGTTACTTGCGGAATGAGAGCTTCGTTTTCCGTGCGGCGGGAGGAGGTGCTGGCCGGCACGTGGTGTAGACCGAGTGGGAACCTCCCGTGGGGCCTCGGCAGCGGAACCAGGGCCAGGGAGGGCAAGGTGCCCGGCCAGCCCCACTTACCACCTGGGTGCACTTGTCCGTGCAGTAGCCGGTGAGGACGAAGTTGCTCTCCCGCGGGGGAATGGCCATCACGGGCGAGTACACCAGCCCCAGCTCCATGATGCCCGCGTCGAAACGGCGCAGCGTGGCCGTGTAGTACAGGCGGATGCCCGAGGAGTCGCGACGGCCTAGCAGAAAGACGGGCGGAGGGGAGCGGAAGCACTCGCAGCAGCCCCCGCCGGTCAGCCTCCCGCTCCGGCCCCAGCGGACCCCCAGCCGCCTCGCCCCTCCCCTGCCCCCACCTGGGGCGTGCACCCGAAGCCAGCTGCCCCCGCTCCCGCACCTGCTTATGCCAGGCATTCGCGAGCTCTGCGCCACACCCACGTGGAGAGAAAGAGCCCTTGTTTCTATGAAAACTGAGTTGATGCTTTGGAAAGACTCGATCAAGGCGGGTAACTACAACAGAGCTTTGAGTGAGTGGGGGTGAGGCGCCTGCGAGATATCCAGGAAGCTGGCGCTACCTCGGGTGGCTTTGCATATATGCTCTGATGTCCTTCCGCACGTTCAGAGGCATCTGAACTGGAATCCGCCCGCGGGACGACCTGCGGATGCTCTGTGCAACTAGGAGGGCGGGGAACGGCATCCACCCGGCCCCCTGAGGAGCCTCTGCCCCCCGGCAAACGTGGGTAAACGTGTTAAAGTTGACAAGAGACACGTAAGAGGCATTCTTCTCGCAGCCCCCACTTGGCTCCTCTGACCACTGCCCTGACGCGCTGAGGACATCACAGGAAAACTAGAGCAGAGCGTGGGGCCCCGGGGCAGGCGGGCATGACCCCAGACTCCACTTGGTCAGCAGTGTGCTGTGTGCTCTCAGACAAGTCACTGTCTCTCTCTGGGCCTCTCTGGGCTCAAATTCAAGAGGCTCTTCCAAAGGAGAACTCAGGGCTTCTGCCCATCACTGTCCAGCCACACTGGCTGGTTCGTCTTGTGGTTTGCTAATTGGACAGTCCATGGGCTCCCTGGGTGGGCCTCCCAGCAGCCACAGGAAGCTGGTGGTCAGAGGTCAGGGATGTTGGTGGCCACAGGCACAGCCACACAACCATGTGGCCACCAGTAGCCCCTGCCCTACCCCTGCCTGGAATTGGTCAGCTGAGGCCCCAAGTGTGTGAGGGCAGAGACCTGGGCTGGTCCCACGGGGGAGATGGGGTGGCTGGACGTGGCTCGACCCCTCAGAATGCACTGCAGAGCTGGGACGTGGGCAGAGGAGCACGTGTCACTTAAGAATCATCAGCCCCAATTTACAGATGAGGAAACTGAGGCTCGCAGCCTGAGCTGGAGACCCTGCCCGAGATCGCGGGTCTGGAAAGCGGCCATGCTGGGATCTGAGCCCAGGGCGTTCCCAGGGGCCCTGGCCATCTTGTTGCTCATTGGCCTCGAGGTGGGGCCACGAACACCCCTTCTTGCGTCTGCCTCCCCCGTGCCCAACTCCTGCCCCCGCCCCCATGCGATGTCCAAACTCAGCCTCTGTATCTCTGGGCTGGTTGCATCAGAGGATAATAATAAAAAGGGAGATGCAATTGGTTAAAATTCAGATGGGGATTAAATAATGAAATAATTGTGGCATTTTGATATTTATAGAAGAGCGGCCCGTCTCCAGATTTGTGAAGTGACAGAGCATCCTTATATTTGGCAAAGGATCCATAAATATAACCAGATAATCAGGAAGAGGCAGACCTCCCTGACGCTTAAGGAGTGTTCAGAAATCCATTTGCTTTCAGGTTTTAAATGAGCAATAAATCCCATATCACGCTAAAGCCCGCGCTGACTTATGCCCCGCGCCGTGCACACTACAGATAATTCCGGCGGTGGCAGCAAGCGCTAGTTATGTCGCCGGGAGGAAGCTCACTGGCAGCCGTTGGCGGAGCACACCCGCGGTGCCCACGTCCCGCCGGGGGCCGCATGCCCGAGCTCTCCCAGCCCCAGGACAGCTGCATGCTGGGGGGGGCGGGGTCCCCGCCAGGGTCACCGGGCTAGGGAGGGACGGGCTGGGGCCCAGCCTGAACCTCCTGCTCTGATCTCTCAGGCTATTTCTGCTCCTCACATGCACAAATGAAACCAAGCATCCCTTTAAAAAAAAGGAGACAGAGAGCGAGAGGACCAGGGCCGTGTGGCCGTAGGTGGGGGGCGGCGCCGGTGCAGAGGGAAACGTCTCCATTTCTGATCTGACATCAGCTGGCATCGTCCTAAATATCCACTGTCGTCGTCACCTGCAGGCATGGGCTGATCAAGCAGCCAGCACTGCACGGGGCAGACCTCATGGATCAACGACAGCACTGCCCTGCGGGGCCCCGGCCAGCCTCAGATGCCTTTCCAACAGGAGCCCCGTGCCTCTGCTGAGGGTCAGTTAGAGGAGCCCCACAGGCAAAGCCGACTGTCTGCCACCCCCGTCACAAAACTGCGGGGACATCGGGCCCATGGGCGCACGCGGGCTCCAGCCTGTGTTTGCTCTGTTGTGCTTTGAAAAGCAGGGGGGAAGCTCACCGCCAGAAATGCTGCCCTCCCCCACACCCGAGCTCTTCCCTTGACCTGCAGATAGGCCCTGGGGGCCGTGGCTTCAGGGGGCCGGCCGCCGGAGGTGGGGGGCGTGCTGGCTCTGGAGTGGCCGCATCCCGCCAGGGGGCCCCGTTCTGGCCCCACCAGGTGTGGGGAGGGCAGAGCCATCGGGCCCGGATGCTGGCAGCCGCCTGGTTACGGACAACTGGGGACGAGAGGCAGCTACTGGTCTGAGCGGCCTCACAGAAGTCAGACTTCCAGGGAAGCCGGGGACAGTGCTCTGGCCTGGGACCTCTCCTCACTGACCTTGAGGCTAGTGACCCCGGGGTGTGGGGAGGAGGGCGGGCCGCTGGACCGAACCAGCGTCTAAGTGATTCCGTACAGCCCTGGAGTCCCACCCACCTTGCCAGTTCAAAGCGTGGGGTCGGCCACTGGACGGCCACGTGGCTGCGGCTGCCCACGGCCCAGACCAGGGCTCCTGGCCCCGCCTGCTCACTTGGTGGTGCTGGTTGGAGTCCCTTCACCCCCGGGCCTTAATTTCCGCATCCGCAAATGGGCAAGAAACCTCTGCCTGCCTTTCCCCAGAGGGTGGCCCTGGCAGTGGGCACTTTCGAGGAAGATGGGGGTGCCAAGCCTCCCACTGCGTGGGGTGCAGGGGTGAGCCGTGCGGCCGGGGCCCCGCCCCAGGGAGCCCACTGCAGGCATGGGAGAGGAACAGAAAGAAGGGCGTGAGGGGCTCTCATGTCTTGATGGGTCATACGAGGAGGCTGGACCTCGGGGAGTTGGGCCCAGCACTGAACAGACACCCCGACCCCCTTCCAGACTGGACACGGCTGATCCAGGCTTCCGAAGGGAGGACAGAGGTAGAAATGCACGCTCAGAGCTCCCTACCTTGGATCATCAGTGGGTTGTGGTAGTGAACTTCCAGACGGAGAAATCTGGAGGACCCGGCACCCCCAAAGGCAAGGCCTGCTTCCTCCGGGTAGTAAAAGGCCTGCAGGGTGGGGGAAGGTGGCGAGCCAGGCAGTTTGGGCACCGAAGCCCAGACAGGCAGGCTGGTGTGTCACGCGGGCCTCCCAGACGCGGGTCGGGACAAACCCGCCCACCCGCTGAGGCCTGAGCTGCCGGGTGGGATCCAAACGCTGCTCTCCCGCTGACGGGCAGCTCATGACCAGCCCGCCCGGATGTCTTATTCGACTCGGGGTCAGGAGTAGGGGGAGCTGGTGCTTGGCCCTGCCTCACCCTCTGCGTCGGCGGAGGGAGCAGCTGATGGCAGCCCGTGGAGGCCACCAGCCAGGACCACCCCGTGCACAAAACCCCACGTCCAGTGGGGAAACAAAGTACCTATGCTGGGATTTTGCACTTTTATAAAAAAGCAACCAAGGCTGGGAAAAGCCTTCCCGGCCCGAGAGCAGCAGAACTGAGGCAGCGCTGGGTGCGGGGGTGATGGGTGGGGGGGGGCTCTTTCTCTGGCCGCCTCGCCAGCACCCTCTGGAGCCTCTCAGACTGAGGAGCCCGGGGGGGGGGGGGGACATGGGCGTGGCAGGGGTGGGACCCGGGGGCGCGCGGAGGAGGCCGGGGGAGGGCTGCAGGGCACGCACCTTGGCGCCCAGGGCCCAGGCGGCCAGCACGTGTCGGCAGTAGTTGAGCCGCTGGGGCTTCATCTTGGAATCGCAGGGCCCGCTGAACCGGGGGAAGGTCTCGAACTGGGCGGCACACTGGAAGACCTCCATGTGGTGCACCAGCGCCTCATTGCCCTCAGTGACGATGGGCTCGTACTAGGGGGAGGGCGGGAGGGCGCTGAGCCCGCGGGGGCGGCGGTCCCCTCCCCAGCAGCCTGCTCACCCCCTGGTGGAGGGCTCAGCTCCCCGCAGGGCCCCTGCTTGCCCATCTGTAAAATGGGAGGGTTAAGGGAGGAGTTTCTGGGGCCCAGGGATTGGAAGGTGGAGCCACCAACCTGAACCCAGGCAGAATCTTCCAGAAGCCCACACAGAGCTCCAGAGGGAAGGGGATAAGGACCCTGGCAAACCGTTTCCTGATGCGGTGAGGACAGGAAGGCAGCTGTCCTGGGCAAGGACATAGAGGCAGCCCCGAGGCTAAGCCTGAGCCCAGGGAGCAGGCCGGCCACCCCTGTGGGCCTTTGTGCACTCACACAGCCTCTCTGGGCTGCACTGTCACTGCTGGAAACAGTGCGTGGGGAGGAGTTTGTCGCCCCCCCACCCCACCCCCACCTCCCCGCCGGGCCAGGCCAGGGAAACAGATGACAATCCACAGCTACCACCCTCACATTATCTTTCTGGGTGGGTGTTTAGAGCACTTGAGATCGGAATTGAGCTGCCTTTTCGTGGAGGGGGCTGTGACCTGATAGACAGGCAGAGTCAGCGTCCTTCGGTCCAGTCTGGAAGTCAGGCCACAGAGGCCTGGGGAGGGTGGGTGTGAGCAGGGTGACAGGATGACAGGTGACGGGGGTCAAAGCATGCTTGTGGCTAAGAGCACATCCAGTCCAAGCTGAGCCACGGACGGCCTTCCAGGATGGGGACGTCCCTCCGCACCCCTCGGAGGCCCCAGGTGGAAAGCGGAGCTGGGACGAGGCCCCGGGCCCCGGACCGCCCGCCATGTGCCCGCCCCCCGCCCCCGACCCAGGTACCATGACGATGTGGTGCTTCGTGAAACCATCTGGAAGTTCAACGACGTGGCACCAGTAGGTGGTCTCCTGGTTGGGGATCAGGATGTCTGGGACACGGATCTCCATGGTGCGCTTGTCGGCGGGCAAGGCCGGGACGGAGATGTTGGGCTTTAACAGCTGTACCCTCTGCAGCCCCGTCTGCAGCCCCGAGATGTTGATGGCCTCCAGCGCCCGGAACGGCTCCTCCAAAATCCCGTACACCAGGTGGACGGTGCCATCCTGCAGCCAACACACCCAGACCCCCCAGAGCTGGGCTCCTTGGTAAGCGGGGGCTGCCGGGGCTCCGCCCACCTCACCTGGCAGGCAGCATGCCCGGTTCGGGTCTCTGTGAAGGAGGTGTCTTCAAGGCTCCCCGAGGACCCGGCTGAGCCAGGCTCATTACCCCACAGCCTGCAGCTGGCACCAGGCATCAAATACACTTTTTTTTCCCAAATATGTTCTGTCCACATTCGCTAAGTCAGATATCTGTCCCCCTCCACCGCCCCCAAGGTCACCGGGACAAGGTGCGGATCATCACTTCCGGGCCCATGAAAAGCTCAGGGTGAGGAGTCAATGCCCCTATAAAGCAAAAAAGACCACACTGTGGCTTCTCAAGAGTAACCCTGAACTTGGAGAGCTGTGCTGTCCCACTGGTGCTGGACGGTGCACACGTGGAAAGTTCTAGGCAGCACTGTGCTCGAGGTCACAGACAGACCCCAGGAGGGCAGGAGCCTGGGCTTGGCTTCCCCCACGGTGCTGCTACGAATGCAAGCCTGTATCCACGTGTGGCGTGTGGCCCTGAAAATACCTTCCGTGGTTTTCTGGGCACTGGTGGGTGTCTGTGTGGGGTTTGTGTTCCTCATGGGCGGCCCCTGCTTGCTGTCTGAGTTTATGGCCACGTAAACCTGAGGCCCCTGTGAGCTGCTCTCGCCAAAGAAGACATCAGAGCCCCAGGCAGAAGCCCCCCAACACCAGCCCCGAAGCCCTGAGCCGAGCACATGTGCACATCTCGGGACGCCTTGCAAAGTGCCTGGACGGCGTCCGTCCGACCTGGCATCGTCCGCAGGGAAGGCAGATAAGGGGCGTGAGGCCTCCGTGGCCTGTCCCACCGTTCCGTGGGGCCCGGGGCAAATCCTTCCCCTGTCCGGCCTCAGTTTCCTTGTCTGCCACACAGCCCGTCACTGCCATACCATAAAGATGACACAAGGAGACCAAGGTCAAAGTACGCTGGAAAATTAAAAGAACTTTGTCTTCAAGGCCACGATGGGTTGTTTTTAGCGGGTGGGTTGGGGCAGCGTGAGAAGCCTATGGTGGTTTTGGATCCGCTGTGGCTCTGAGCTCCTGGGCAGAGCTGGTGGGCTCTTCGGGCCCTCCTGCCCTCTCCCTTCCCCCCCACTTCACAGGTGGGTAAACCGAGGACGTCTGGGGGAGTGAGGGGCCTGCCCCAGGCCTCACAGCCGGTGGGCAACAGGGCAGGTTGGGAAAGCAGGCGTCCTGGCCTCTTCCCACAATTCCACCTGAAGGTGACAGGCCAGGAGGAGAGGAAGCCAGCAGCAAGATGGCTCTGGCCCCACATTGAGAGGCTTGGGGGCAGGACCCACATCTAGAGCCACATGGCTGTGTCATCCAGGAATGCTTCCTGAAGGGGTCAGGCTGATGACGGAGCCGGCCTCTGGTCCCCTCCCAGCCGCCACTGGGATCCCTCCCTGGCTCCCTCCCTGCGCGGACCAGGCCCAGGGAAGCTGCCCCAGGATGCCGCCGCTCCACCATCTCCTGAGTACGGGGCGCCACCACCCACCTCGATGAGGTAATCCTTGGGGTCACAGGTGTCAAAGGGCCTCTTGAAGAGCAGGCTCAGGCCTTCCGCGGTTCTCTGCGCCTTCAGCAGCTGGTAATCCTGCCGGAAATCCAGGTGAATCTGTCCCCACTGGTCACTCCAGGCATCCTGCCGTGACAAGTATGGACTCTGAACAGAAGGCGCCAAGCGTCACGGCCAGAGCGCGAGGCTGGTGGTCCACGGTGTGGATCTCGGGGGTCCTCATGGGGCTGGCGGGGGGAGGGTGGCAGGGGGTGACTCCCACTTTGTGTGTCTGCCTGGAGATGGCAGTCACCCCTCAATGCCACTCACTTCCTCTGTGCCTTGAAACAAGGCTCTCAAAGTCCAGCCGGGGTTCAGGGCGGCTGGTTAGAGAAGAGGGATGTGTGCCCGCAGGCCTCTGAGACCCCAGGTGACGGGGGAGGAGGACTTGGCCTTGGACACCGCAGCACAACATGACGCTGTCCCTGCGAAGCCATCCCAGAGCAGGGTCTCAGACCTCTGGGTACACCCAGGAACCGATGGCTAAGAAGGTACCAGCATTGGCAGTGGGCGCCTGGCACAAATACCGCCTACCCCCGCCAGTCTGCAGAGGGAGGGGTCACGACAGCTCGTGGAGACTGGGGCAGAGGGGGGAGGCCAGGGACAAGCCAGCTGTGCCGTCCCTGACCTCACACACCCCTGAGAGTGAGCACCCCCTCACTCACTGTGCCCAGCCCTAGCCTTGCCTGGAGAGGGTAAACTGAGGCCCAGGGAGGAAGCGGGCCTGCTGCATTTTGCCAGGTCCTTAGTGGGTGGCTGACCTGACTGCCCCCTGCCGCTACCTGCTTCCTGTGCGCCCGGCTCTCAGGCCTAGTCTGCAGGCCAGTGCAGAGAAAGCAGTCACCTGCAGAGGACGCTAGGAGGGAGGGGAGGGAGGGGAGGGAGAGGAGAGCCTCTGGCCAGCCGGTCCCCCTGCCCGCCCCACCTCTGTTCCAGTTCAGGAACACCGGGAGCTTTGGGATTTTTTTTTTTTTTTTTAACCTGTATCCAGGCCCAAAGCCTGTTTGCTCCATCTCCTTGAGAAGAAAGAAACCTGCAAAAGGTTTTGCAAAATTTTCCCTAGAGGAAAGCACCACAGTGAAATCCCTGCTAAGAGACACGGCTAATTTGCAGGCCTAATTTTAAAACAGAGGCAGAAAGTTAGTGTAAGTTCAGCTGGAAATCTAGAACGTATTTGTTGAGCATACGGCTAACGGAGGAAAAACAAGGCTGACATTTGTTTGCGCAGGAATTTGTTGTGCAAATTAATCTCACAGAGTGTGCGGGAGGGCGATGTCACCTGTCGCCGGGCTCTCTCCGCGGCCCGCATGCCTGCTCCTGATCAGAGGCGCCACTGCTCGCTCGGGAATGGCTGACGGCTCAGAGCTGGGGCTGCCCCAGGTCCTTCTTGGCCATGACCCCTCCCCAGGCCGCTGAGTATCCTTACAGCGGGGAGACAGTGCAGCCCAGCAAGCCCGCTCTGGGCCCCAACCCGGCGCCTGCACCCCATTCTGCCTGGGCGGCCCAAGCGTCTGGCTCCGGCTCTCCCGGAAAGGCTTCCCGCCTAAGCTGTGACCTGCTGAGTAGTGGGGCCTGGGGGGTGGGGGGGCTGGCTGGAGCACAGCTGGGTTCCAGAAATATCGGCCATTGTCAGCTCCTTGGGAATTCACAAGGACCCAAAAAGGTGCAGAGGGATTGCTGTCCTCACTCCTCAGATGAGGAAACAGAGTCTTGGGCCCAGGGCCCCTCTGCGGGTTCCCCCACGTAAACGGGTTAAGAAAAGCCCACTGCTCACAGATAAAGACCTTTAAAAATGGGGTGGGGGTGCACCTAGGTGGTTCAGTCAGCCGAGTGTCTGACTTCAGCTCAGGTCCGTGGGTTCAAGCCCCGCGTTGGGCTCTGTGCTGACAGCTCGGAGCCTGGAGCTACTTTGGGTCTGTGTCTCCTTCTCTCTCTCTCTCAAAAATAAATAAACATTTAAAAAATTTTAAGACAAAGAAGTTAGACCCTCCTGTGTCTGTTTTTGTGGAGAGAGCTAAGTTTCATCCCCAAGGAGGCCTATTTGGGGCCAAGGGTGGGAGCAGTGGCTCAGGGCAGAGGGCCGCCTCTGCCCACCCGCACCTCCCTTGAGCTTGTTGAGGGCCCGAAAGCCCCTCTATCTCTGGTTTGGAGGGAAACTTTCCCCTTCCTCTGCCCTTTACGGTAAAAAAAAAAAAAAAAGAAAGAAAGGGGGTAAATTTTGGAAGCACCAAGTCAAGGGCACCTCCCATTTCGAGTCAGCTCGGTTAGGTTTGTACCACGAACCACACCTGCGTCCGCCCCTGCTCACGCCCGCAGGTGCAAGCTAGGCCTGTGGGTGCTGCGTCCTGGGCCGTGGGCATGCGCCCTGGTGCTGTGCTTGGCCACGTGCGGTCACCAGGCCCACAGGGTGCACTGGGAGCTGCTGGTGCCGGTGGGGGACTTGAGGTCCGCCCTCATGGGGGGCAGCAGATCCCTTCACCTACCTTCATCTACCTGGCAGGTGTGTGGCAAGTGCACAAGTGTGCTCAGGACACCGCGTCCTGTCCGGACATGTGCGGTCAAAGACCGCGGAGGACATCTATTTCCCGCTCTGTCCTCAGATTGGCTTCCCTGGGACACCCAAGCTTGGGGCGCAAATTTGGCTAAGGTCAGAGTAAACAGGAAGGGGGAGGAGGGAGGGCTTTCTTTGCTGGGTTAAGGGCGGGGGGGTGCCAGGCGTGAGTGGAAGATGAAGGCCGGGTGGGGGCTGGGTAAGGACAAGGTCAGGAGCGCCGGGGGTTCGGAACAACTCACCCCAAAGTAGGCGCTGTCTCCGCTGGTCCAGAGCACGACCAGGTCAGCATTTTCCAGCTCGCCGCGGTCCGACATCCCGAACAGGACGCCGGCCTTGAGCTCCCGCACCAGGAGCTGGAAGTAGACCATCTCGTTCACGTAGCTGATATCCCAGGAGAGCTCCAGGGACCCCTCGGGATCCAGGGGGATGCGGTAGGGAAACGGACTCTTGGGGGGTGCCGAGCTCTGCAGCGCGGCCACCAGGATGACCAGGAAGACGGCCACCGCCGTGCCGTACATGGAGGCCGCCTCTCTCATGCTGGGGCCGGCGACCTGCATGACTGGGGAGCGCGGCCGCCCGCCGGGACTTTATGTCCCGGCCTCCAGGGGGTGGGCTCAAGCTGCTCTCTAATCACATTGGTCTGGTAGGGAATTCAATCGTCCCGGTGGCCCTCCCACCGGCCTGTGCCCCGGGGGCACACCCTTTGCGTCCCTTGCTCTCTTAATTGGCCCTGATGACACATGGACATCATCAGCGGGAATTGAAGCCGACTGACTGATCGCGCTCCGTCCGTCCGAACCAAACCGTCTCTGCAGCACTGTCTGGGGAGCCGCCCCTCCCTGCAGCCAGAAGGCCTTCCAGATGCCGTCAGCCAGGCACCGGGCTGCCCACCAGGCAGGCTGTCTGGTCCTGTCCCTGAGCCACACGCAGGATGGGCCCTGTGCCGCCCTATCCGTGGATGGGCATACTGAGGCCCCAAGGGCTTACTTCCGGGGTGACCAGCGAGTAATGACACTGCCGCTGTGGCCCCCGGCCCAGTGAGCCGCTTCCGCCATGCTGGAGGGTGGACCAATTTCAAACTAAAAATAAAAGACGGTCCACACATAGTCCCTGTGTTTAGACACTCTCTCCATGGCCTGCTGTTCCCACTTTTGTCTCCTGTCTATTTCCTCACAGGCTCCAGCTGGTGCCACGGCTGCTCCCGCGGGAGTGGGTGTACTGCTGGGGGGTGGGGCCAGATGGCACGGGGTGCATCGCTGGGGGACAGGCTTTGCAGAAAAGGGTGCCCAGGACGGGCCTGCCTCCCCGTCACCGAAGCTCCCAAAGCTGTGACGCCCCTTAGCCTAGAGTGGACGCTGCCTGAACGTGAATGCTCCCGGGCCTGCTGGCCGGTAGTGCTGTTTCTCCCACACCTGCCACAGGGCCTTTGCACAGATCCACTGGGGCTCACAGCCCTGGCGCTGCACCCCAAGTAGCCCCCGTCCTTCTCTGTGCACAGTGCTTTGACTCTAGTTGGGCTGCCACCTCGAGGAAGTTCTCCCTGATAGCCCCGAATTCAGTCCCTCTCCCTCAGGCACCTGGCTCGCTCTCACTCTCCCTCCCTTCATTCCTTCGTCCCCCTCCTCCTCTTCCTCCCCTCTCTGGAGAAACCGAGAACCGAGAACCCTAGGGACACAGGGACGTCACCAGCTGCCACCCAACCTTTAGTCCTCAGGTGTCTGCAGAGGCTGGCGGTGCAGGCTCAGCTCTGAACCCTGTTCCGTAGGGAGGAATGAGTGTGCCGCCTGCAGAAGGAAGTGGGGGAACATTCCAGCCCTCACGGGGCCCTGGCGGTGGTGCTTTCTGCCTCCCAGTGACCCGGCTGCCCTTCACACCAGCCTGGGGCGGGCGGGGGGGAGACCAGACAGAGGGACCCACCCCCCACCGCAGGCCAAGCCCAGGCTGCCAGCTGAGAGCCAGAAACCACTGGGCCTGAAGGCGCATCACTGTCTGGAAATCGGCACCTAAAGGCTGTTGTGCGCGGGCGGCTGCAGGGGAGGCGGAGCAGGTACGAGGAAGATAAAGGATTGAGTGAGCGGGCGGGACAGGAGCGGGGTGCGGGCAAGGCCTCCCTCTAGGGCGTGGGGAAACCCCAGAGAGGCCGAGGCTGCTGAGCACGAGGGAGGAGTCGGAGCCAGGGAGGCCCCTCGCCTGGGCGGCAGGCGAGCTTCCTGGAGGCTGGGGAGGGACTCGGGGCGGGGGGGGGGGCTGGAAGGTCCGCGTTCCGGGGGTCAGAGGCACGGGGCGGGGGGGGTCTGGCTTAGCTACAGGTCTAGTCCCAGAGGCTCTGGGCGAAGCTGCCCGACACAGAAGGCAGGCGGGCCCAGGCCGGGCGGGGTGGGGGGTGGGGGTGGAGACCAGGCTCCGAAGGCCTCACGTGAGAGGGAACAGCCCTCACATTGCTGTGGAAGCAGATGCCTGGCATTTGAGGTCAAGACGCCCCCAGGACACTCCCCACCAGATCAGGGTGTGGCCACGGCGGGGAGGGGGGCGTGTCAGCACAGCAAAGTCGGGGCAGCTGGCCCCCCACAGCGTGCCCAGCTCTGGGCCAGGATCCAGGTGGGATCTGGCCTTGGAAGACAGGCAGCACGACGAGCAACGGCAGCCTACTCTGGGGCAGGGAGACCCCAAGGCCCTCATGCCGCACCCCCCCTCCCAGGGGGGCTCCAGGCTCTGGGTTCAAATCCTGCGGGCTCCCGCCTGGGCCTCCTGGGGGACGCACTTCCCCACCCAGATGGCCAGAGGGGTCGGACCCGCCAGCTGCCTTCAAGCCAGCGTCCTGGGCAGGGAGAGGCAGCGAGAGGCGGAGAGGCCTGGGGCCGGGAGCCCAGGGGTACAGCGCCAGCCCTGAGCAGGCCCTCGGGTTGCCGAGCCACCTCCATTCCTACGGGGAAGCGGGAAGCGGAGGGATCAACAGTTGCTCAGAGCTGCTCCGAAGGAGGGAGGCCTGCGTGGCTTAGTAAACAGCAGAGCGCCAGGGACACACGGTTATTTTTAACCGGATTTAAAAGGCACTCTTTCTCCAGCTTGGAACTGGGCTGCAGCTCCCGCGTGCCCCTTGCATTCGACAAAGCCAACGCAGCCGATCTCAGAAGTAATAATTGCCAAGCGCTAGGAATCAACAGGAGCCGGAAAGCGTGTCCACGCCCAGCCCACCACCAGCTTCGCTTCGCGTCGCCCTTGCCAGCCTCGGGGCGGGGTGGGGGTGGGGGGGCTGCAACTGTCCTCAGATGCCAGGGGAGGCGAGGCTGCAGAGGAGTTGAGCAACCCGCCCTTGGGGTGAGGCCACTTCTAGCAAGCGCGGCACTGGGGAGGCAGCCAAGGTCAGGGCCGTTCCACTGGAGTCAGGAGGAAGGGACACGGAATGAGAAAGGAAAGCGCTGGGCCCCGCAGGGGGCAGAGAGACCCGGCCAATCACAGGGCCCCGGCCGCGATGTGCGTTCCTTGCATTAATGGATTTTTACAAACGGAGCAATTCGACCCCGCACAAGGGAGCAGGACTCAGCGGTCCTCGGCCCGCCCGCATCCGGTGCGACACCTGCGGAGACCTCAAGGGCTGAGACGGCAGCCCCTCCCGCGTGCCCTCTGACCCTGCCCCCAGCCCCACCCGGCTCTGCTCTGGTGCTGCGGTGCAAGTTGCCCTCCAAAGGCAAGGGTGGGTTGGGGGTGTCGCCCGGGCGTCACCGCCACCCTGTCAGGAAATAAACACCGCTAGCTGCTCAGCGCCTGGCTCTCCTCCAAGGCGCTTCGACGGCTGACCTCATTTAGAACCAATTTCAGCGGCTTAATAAGCCCTTTCCTCTCCGAATCTCTCCGACACTGTCATCCTCTGCACGTAATCCCCCATTGCCTGTGCCACGTGAGGCCGGCTCGGCTGGCTCCCCAGGGCACAGATCGCAGCAAGTGGGGAGGACCCAAGCCCGGTGGGTGGGCTTCAACCACACCGGCCTGACCAGGCCCCTCCCCAGAGGCCGTCGGGGCTGGTGGGGGGGCGGGGGGGCTGCAGGCTCTGCCCCTGGGCCTGGGAGCTCCTCCTGCGGAGAAAATCCAGCATTCTAGCTGCGGGGAGCAGACACAGGGCTGCGAAGGGCAGACTGGGGGCTGCCCCCAGACCAGCCCCACCTCCGGGGGCCACCATGCCCCTGCCCCGCTCCGGTCCTCAGCAGCTTGGGGCAACCACACCCTTTGTGACACAGTCAACCACCACCAGCCACACCAGCCACGACCGCACCGCAGCCCCCTGCCTGCCCACCCCTCCCCCCAGCCCCGTGCACACTTGGGGGCAGGTGAATTTGGAAATCAGATCAGAGAGCTGAAAGGCAGCACCTCGCAGGCTCAGCGAAAACCACATCCGAGGCCCCGCCCAGGGCCAAGGTGGCCAACAGTAGCTGTGTCTGCATCCAAGGCTCTAGGGGCACGGCCGGGAGCGCTGTCCCTGGACATTTAGATCATTGTCACCAGCAGGAAGGGGTTCTTGCCCCCGTGAGAGTGAACGAGGTGGCAAGGCAGGAACCCAGGACTTAACCTCACCTCTCTGTGTACTCTCTGTGCTCATCTCACCTGATGGGGGGGGGGGGGGGGGAGCCACCCTCACAGGAGGGGCCAGGCTGCAGGGACAGCCCCTTGCCTGGGCTCCCAGCTCCACCGGATGCAGGCTATCTGTTGTGATTTAAGTATAAATGTGCTTGCAATCCGCAAAAGGGCAAGGAAAAGCCCCCAGAATGCCACCCTCGAAAAATAACCACGATTAACAGCTCAGTGAGTTGTCTTTCAGAATTCCTTTTCACTATTTAAAAGTATTTTTATTTTTATTTATTTATTTATTTTAATGTTTTTATTTATTTGTGTGAGAGAGACAGAGACAGCGTGCAGGGGAGGGGCAGAGAGAGAGGGAGACACAGAATCTGAAACAGGCTCCAGGCTCTGAGCTGTCAGCACAGAGCCCGACGCAGGACTCGAACCCACGAACTGTGAGATCATGACCTGAGCCAAAGTCGGTCACTTAACCGACTGAGCCACCCAGGCACCCCTTAAAAGTATTTTTAAACTTCGTTCATTATGTATTGTTTATGTGTTTGCTGTGTTTATTACATAACAGAATTTACCATCTTAACCATTTTTAAGGGCACAGTTCAGGGGCATTAAGCATATTCACACTGTCGTGCACCCGTCTTCTCCATCTGTCTCCAGAACTTTCCATCCTCCCAAACTGGAACTCTGTCCCCAGTAAACACTGATCCTCTCCCCTCCCCCGGCCCCCCGCACCCACCATCTACTCCCTGTCTCCATCTCCGTGGACTGGACTTCTCTAGGGCCCTCAGGGAAGTGGAATCAGACAGGATTTGCCCTTTCATGGCTGGCTTATCTCACTCAGCATCGTGTCCTTGAGAAGGTTCATCCACGTTGCCACACGTGGCACGATTGCCTTCCCCTTTAAGGCTGAATGACATTCCACGGCGTGGACGGACCCTGTTTTCTTTCTCCACCATCTCCTGATGGACACTCGGCTGTTGTCAATCTCTCTGCTCAGATCCCTGTTTTCCGTT